TGAAGTCATCCTACCCCTAAGTAGAATTTGCCATCTCTCCTTTCACACTACACACACCAGGACTGCGACAGATGCCTGACATGACTTTGAAGATAGTTGCGCGCGGCCTCGAAGATGACCTTCTGTTAGTCTGTTATAGCTTGGTTTATTTGTTAATTTGCCTTTTGATAATCATTTATATTGTCTTTTTTTTTTTTTTTAAATTTTATTTTATTTTATTTTTACACCATATTGTATTATGACACTTTTAGTATTCACCAGCATAGTCACTGTTCTGCCTATGATATGCAAACTTTTTCATTACCATATGAAGTAAAGGTCTATGAAGTATAGGTTTTGTGTAACTAATGTAAAAAACACAAATTTTATAAAATTGTACAGTTTTTTTAACTAGTCTCACAAGCCAGCTAGAATATTGCATAGATCTGATGTATCAGCATTAACTATAGGATGCCTGTACGGGGTAAGGGGATTAACCAAGAAACAAACAAAAAAAACCAAACCAAAAACCCCAATATCAGTGCAGTAAGTTTTTAATCTAAGTTAAATAGGATTTCGGAGCTGCGCCACAACACCCTGGATAACTGATACCCGGGGCCAGGACCTCCCTGTTCGTTAAGCCAGCGCAGCGTTAACGCTAACGGGGAGCCCTCTCCTGCCCTACCCGATGCCGAGGAATAACCAGTGTTGCGTTCCTGTAGTCTGTGGTTTCAAGACTATGTACAAATGCATTTTATTTTAAATAAAAGTCAAATCTTTTATTTAAGATTCACCTGCCGCTCCTGGTTTTTTGTGGTTCAACTGTGCTACGGCAAGGCCGTTAAGTAGCTCCCGTACGATACAGCCAGCCCGGTGCTCCATCCCGCTGCCTTATCCCGAGCTTTTCAAAACCAAATGCCACCAAAAACCAAAGTAAAATGCAGGGATGGGGCAGGAAAGTCGCGGGCAGCAGCGGCGGCCCCGCTCCCTGGCCAGGCAGGCGATGGGGAAGCAGCCCAGGGATGCGGGGAAGGATGCTGCCCGGGACGCGTGTGGTCCATGCCCTGCCGTCACCTAATTTGAGGGGTTGCGGATGGAGCGCTGGGGTGTAAAACAGCCTCGGCACACTGGGCTCAGTTACAGAGGTGAGAAGGAAAATCGATCTGTTCGCAAACGGGGCTTAAAAACTGCTGTTTCAGCCTTTTGGCAGTGGAATGAAATTGGGTTTGGCGCCGGCGAGGCCCCTTGAC